ACGGTCCAGGGACAACACGGGTTCCACTGAGCAGTCTCAGTGTCAGCAGCACCGAAAAACCATGAATTCCAGAAGAGGGTCTCTAACAGAAAAGTTAGCCATCAATTTTCATATTGATGTTCTCACAGATTATCCTTTTCCCAATGATTTCCTCTCGTATTTTCCTGCAAATTGAATTCGATGAATTTCCAAGGCCCCTTTCAAAATGGAGACTCTCTTTTTATGGAGGGAGCCACCTGAGATTAAGAAGTGATGCCTTAGGATCTTCTGCTTGGTAGAGGCAGTGTCCATTCATTCATTCATGTTTATGTTGAGTCTTCTCGGTGCATAGTAGTGTAATAGGAAATGTAGGATATTTTAAAAATGGATAATATTATTTCTTAACTAAAGCAGCTTATGTACCAGAGTACAAATACACACAAATCTATCTAACATAGTAAGTATATAATACACGATGCCCTGCTTCACTCAGTCATTCAGCAAGCAGTTTTTGTGTGCCTGCTAGGTGCTACTGTTGTGCTCGGCTACAGAAATAGAAAGATAGACAGGATTGCTACCCCGAAAGACATCCTGTGAGTGAGTCAGACTGTACACGGAAGACTGGAATTCGTGTGGTAGAGGAGGTTGTGCCAGATGTTCGGCTGGAGCTCAGAGTGATGGATACTGTCGGCAGGGCTCAGAGAGAAAGCAGAATTGCATGCTCCACCCCAAGGGTGGACTTCTCTCCTCGTCAAGCCTCTCGGGAACCACTAGACGATACATGTAGGGACGGGATAGTTATACTTTATGTTATGGAAAGAACAGCCTGGAGGCAACGTAGTAGGTGGATTAGAGAAGCAAAACAGGACTTGGAAAAACTGGAGAGGAAGCTTCGGAAATAATCCAAGAGAGGAATGATGGGAGTGGGAACCAAGGCAGTGGGTAGTGAGGATGGGAAGAAAACAGGTGGAAAGACGTTTGAACCATAAGAAAGCGTATGACTTGGGAGCGGCGTGCGTGGGGCGACAAAGCGGGAGGAGCGGAGGGTGAAACCGCGTGGATGATGTTCAGAAAGACAGGGAACACCTGTTCCCGGGAAGCATGGGGTTGAAAAGGACAGTTGAGTCTTTACATGCATGTACTTTAGGTTTCTGTGGTATCTCTAAGTAATCAAGGTGAAATGTTCAGGAGACAATGGATGTGGAGCTGGGGAGACACTGGGGGGCATGCACATGGGGTAGCTACCAGTATGGACTGGTACTTAGAGCCACTGGAAGAGGTGAACCCAACCAAGAACAATATCATGGGGAATATGAATATTTAGGAAACGGAGAAACAACAGACATGCAGGAGATGGAGCGAGGGAGGGCAGTCAGAAGAATTAGGCATAAAAACTGGGAGAGAGGTGTATTACCAAATCCAAAAGCTATTGCAAAAGCCAACGAGAGTTCAAGGAAAGAAGTGATGAGAGGATCAAATATCAGAAAAAGCTTAAGAGTGATTAGGACCAGCTCCATGAGCTGAAGGACATGAGATGGAGATAACATGTGTTTATTAATCACCTACTGTGTGCTAGGCACAGAGAGGGAGGGTGTGGTTTGAGGAAGAGGGAGAGAAAACGAGAGTGAGAGAGAGAGAGGAGTTCCCAATTTCAGGAGAAACTGAAGCCAAGAGATCAAGTGACTTTCCCCAACATCACACAACTGAAAATGTAGCAAAGCAGATCCAGGCTAAATCTGGAGCCAGTCCATTCCTTTGGGGATGCTGTCATCACTGCATTTTTAATTTCTTTAAATTAAAAAGAAAAAACCTACAAATAAAGGACAAAAAAAAGTGACATATCCTTCTACCCCAGTTCAAAATTTAAGAAACATTTTGTCATATTCACTTAAGATACAACCCAAAGCCCCAGTCACCGTTCTTCATCCTCTATTTCCAGAGATAACCACTACTCAGAAACTGTATTATTTTCATTTAGACTTTCCTACTTTTATGGCATGTGGGTGTATTGACATATCACAAGAGATTACATAGTACAGATGTGAGTGTTTAAATTTTGTAAGTTAAAATTGTGACATCACTTTTTCGTCTCAAAAAAGTGTGTATAATCATATTGATATCTGTAGGTCTAGTTTGTTCATTAAATAGCTGTATAGTTTTCCACTGGATGGATGGACGGATGGATAGATAGATAGATTGGAAGAACTTTTTCATGCTTATTCTGTGACAACATACCATAGGGAAGGCAAGATACCACCCATTGGGAAGAGAACAAAATCAAATGAGTTACCACATTTGAGAGACAGTGCCTTGAAGTTAACTTTATCCTGTGGTAAATTTATTGGTTAGTTAATTGGTTTTCATTGACAGTGTTCCTAAAGGAAATAGCACATTCTAGGGAATAGACTTGAATAATTCCGTCGGGTTTTGATCTAAGAGAGCAATAGGAGATAAATCACAAGGACAGCGTAAGACTTTGCTCCTGGAGGCTGAAGCACCAGCCCACGTCTCACCTGCCGTGTCTCTTAGAGGTGGTGGAGAAGCACAGGGAGTTTCTGGGTAGAGGAGAGGCAGACACTGTTCACGTGGCCCAGGTACCTGGAGTTGCGTTCATGGGTAGTGAAGCTAGAGGATGTGTATTATTTCAGCCTGACTAGGAGGCTCTCTCAGTCTCTGGGAGAAGGTCATGCTGTGGTCAGAAAGACAGAACGGAGGAGTGAAAAAAGATGAGAAAATTGATAAATCTAACCTGAAGGCTAATTTGTGATTTTGCTTCTTTACTGTTTTTCATTTCTTTTACACAAATGTTGACATTGTTTTACTAAGATACCCAATAAAGCAGACTTTCTTCTAAGAAGTTAGAGTTATTCAGGCTTATTAGGAAAACTTCATTCTTGTGAGAACTCATCTTTTCTCCAAGAAACAGTCATTTTATAGCCGAGACAACGTTTGACTTGGAATTTGAGTGTCTTTGGACTATTAATCTATAACAGATCCTCAGTCCTAATGCTTAAAAGCTTGAATATCCATGAGGTTTTTTTTCCCATTTTAGTTTTTTTTCCCTTTTAATTTGAAAATTGTACAGTGTTGCTTCATTTAAAAATGGAGATAAACAGAATAGCAATTATAGTTTAATTTTAATAAACTATATCAGAGCAGGAAATGCAGGGGTAAAATATCTGCCAATTAAATTGGACAGAATCTTGCACCAGTTGGTCAGAAACGACCTTTTTTCCCCAGCATTTTAAAGCATGCATTTTTATTTTGCCCTGAAAATGTCCTTTTTGCAAGTTCAGCCCCCTTAGGTCCATATGCAGTTATTTTTGAGACCTTAATTCGTATGTCTATTCACCCTCCTTACAAAGCTGATGACCTAAATATTGTCTAATACCATTTGAACACCTGTGATATGAATGGATTTACCAATGGAACTCAGGCCTTTGGGCCGTCTTGTTTCTGCTTCCTAAAAGATAACGATGCAAAGCACGGCATTCCTATGGCTCGCTAACCGACTGGCAGAAATTACAGCAAAAAGTACATGGCGGAGCAGATTTCATCAGTACATCGTCTGCACTAAGGCTGTGTCTGTAACGTTACCCATAGGAAGGGGCTATTAGAGCAGAGATTTTGTGAAGCTTAATTTCAAGTTCATCCAAATCACCTTGATGATTATTTTTAATAAATGTCCATAGTATTAGACCAAATCTACCAGTCATTTTCTAAAAATTTCAATAAACTTTTTTAAAAAGCAATTTTCAGTTTATAGAAAACCTGAGCAGAAAGTAGAGTTCCCCGTTACTCTCCCCCCTAGTTTCCCGTTACTAGCATCTTGCCTTAGTGTGGTACGTTTGTGACCACTGATGAGCCAATATTGATACCTTATTCACTAAAATCCATTATTTACATTAGTATCTTTTTGTTGCACATTGCATGGATTTTGTCAGATGTATAATGACAGCCACCATTATATTCTCATACAGAATGTTTCGCTGCCCAAAAGTCCCCTGTACGCCATCTGTTCAGCCCTACTCCTCTTCCCCTGAAACACGGCCATCAGTCAGTCATTTGGATGTCTTATCAGCCCTCTGATGCCCTCAGCAGGTGTTCTTTTGTTGTCATTGTTTTGCTTTGTTTTGTTTTTGTTTGTGAATGAAATGTGGCTGTGATGAGCTAATGAGACCAGTGACTACTGAGGGACGCGTTTTTACTGAGTTCCTGGTTCCGTTTGCCCATTTCTCTGTTCTAATTCTGTTCATTTAAATATGACAAACTGATAAAGGCAGTAACTCCTAGATTCCCATTGTTTCAGCCTACCACTTCTCTCAACCTTGTATATCCAAGCAAATACCAAAAAAAAGAAATAATTTTAAAAGAGGAAAACACACAGGTAGAATAACATTTCAGCTCAGCTCCAACTAATGCCAAACAGAGGCAGTAGTGTGTCTCTATTCCTTAAATACTGACTTGGAGGGTCAGGGAATTTGCAAGTCTGTAAAAACCCCAGTGCCAAAAAGTAGAGAAGATGAGAATCCAAAATCAGTATGCACCAAATAGCCGACCACGATGTTCAGGGCCCAGGAGCAGTAATTGCCACCCAGCATGCAGAATTTAATCTAACAACATACTTGGAAAGATTAATCTTTTAAAATTTCAGAAGGGAGATCAATGGCAAAATAAGATTTTAATCAATAAATCTGTTCTCTAGCACACATACCCTTAAATTTTTGTCCGCTGGTTTTACTTAGCAAAAAAAGCAATAGCTAGCAAACCAGTCGAGTGAAAGTTTTAAATAATTAATGAAATAATTATTAGAAAAGCATCTTTGTCCTCCGTACAGATGATAAGCAGGATTGTGGTTGTGCTGGTGTGTGGGAATGTTCCCATTTCGTTTCACATATTCTTACATCATCTTAAGGCTTTTTCACAAGCATGGATGCATCGATTTTACAATTCATAGGTAAGGAAAGAGATGCTCTGTGTACCACTTATGCTCCCGCCTAGCCCGTCTGTCTCTCCCACAGGTGCCAGGCTGCAAACAAGACCTGCCCCACAGATTACGTATGGAACAATCACGTCTGCAGGTGCCTGGCGCAGCAGGATTTTATTTTTCCCTCTAACGCTGGAGACGGTAAGCCAACTGATGCTTTCCAGACTACACGCCTGGGGTCTCTATTTTTGATTAACAGATATTGTAACATTAAAGTCACCCGCCCAATGTCATCATGCTTTGAAATAAGTCACGACAAAACAGAACGTCGCCTGCTTCGTATTGGTATTACTTTGAATGTCTTTGTAGAGGACCTTACCCAGGTTCGTACACAACCCTTTCATGAACAACATGGAAAGGAACACACTTTTAAATGGCTTTTTATCGTTTCACACCACCCCCAGCACCAGGTAAGGCAGAGTAAAGATGTTCTGACTGTGTCTGTCTAGACCCTGCAGGCGGATTCCACGACGTCTGCGGGCCCCGCAAGGAGCTGGACGAGGAGACCTGCCAGTGTGTCTGCAGAGGCGGGCCTCGGCCTCCCAGCTGTGGGCCCCACCGGGAGCTGGACAGACACTCGTGCCAGTGTGTCTGTAAAAACAGACTCTTCCCCAGCGCGTGTGGGGCCAACAGAGAGTTTGATGAAAACACGTGCCAGTGCGTGTGTAAAAGAACCTGCCCAAGAAACCAGCCCCTGAACCCTGGGAAATGTGTCTGTGAATGTACAGAAACGCCACAGAAATGCTTCTTAAAAGGAAAGAAGTTTCAGCATCAAACATGCAGGTAAGGGGCCTTCTTAAAGAGTATTCATGTCCTCTTACTGGAAATCGTTTTTTCAACCAAAACATCAGTCCCTTGTTGGAATGGGACCGGTTAAAATTGGAGGGTGAATTCTGATATTTTGTAACCAATGCTAAACTCTTGTGAGACTGTGTTTGCTCCCCTCAGAGAGCAAGACAGGAGCCCTGGGAACCAAACCCAGGTCCCAGCTCGGAATGCAAACCTGACGGCCCCAGAGGCTGAGGCTGAGCTCTCATTATGACGTAGAGGACAGAGGCCTAGGACGGTCACCCGTGGAGGATTTTCAAGATCTTCCAGGCGGTGCCACCTGCCCCCACCAAAAATGATGATGCCATCAGTTGTCATTCTGGACAGCCGTTCTAGGTGCAGGACCCGTGGTACCAGATTTACAGAGGACAGGATAGTATCTGGAAATGAAAATAGTTAAGCTAACTCTTTAATGGACTTAGACAAATAAAGTAGCATGTCATTAAAGGTCACTCAAGACGTTCCTTAAACCTCGATTTTGCTTCATTCTTCACCCAGAGAAAAATGAGTCTCCTGGACTCAAAACACTTTCAGTGTGAATCCCTGAACTTTTTCCTCTTAGATCTGGGAATAAGCCAGGCCTGGGATTTTGACATTTCCTCCCACTTTCCTTCAGCGTTGCTCTGCCAGCCACGCCTTTTCTCTTCCATACCTACAATGTCCTCAACTGTTGTCCTGTCCCCTCGATCTGTAAAAGTGCCCAAATTTCTTCTATTTTATTTGCATCTTACTTTGATTCTGCGCATTCCTTAGCAGCCGTGCTCTGTCCTTGTCTCCCGACCAGGCATTTGGCATTTGTGTCACCACCTCTTTCTTCTCTCACTTGGCCAACCAGCTGCAACCTGGTTTGTGCCCTGATTTCATGGTAACGTTCTGCTCAAGGTATGAGGAGGCCCTTCGTCCCCAAATCCAGGGGACAATTTGGCCTTTCCGTAACCTGTGTTTTCTGTGGCTTTTCTTTGGGCTCTCCTCATCGTTGGCTCAGACAACGTTGCATGTTCCTTGTCCTTTAGTTTCCAGGCCACTTGTTCTCCATCCCCCTCACTGGGATCTCTTCCTCCTCCCACTCTTCGCAGATGGAAATAATGCCCTTTCAGCAGATGATTATTCACACGACTTAAAACTTAGCTTTCGCTGATGTACGGTTTAGTGTCTGCATGAATGTTCATTATTAATTTTTCTTCAGTAAACGCAGTGTCCTTCTTTTTGATTGTCAAGAGTTTGTGCTCCCATGACAATGTGTATTTCCGATGCTCCATCCAGGCTAGCACGTTAGCTGCTCCATCAAGGAGACGTCCATGAACCTAGGTGTCTCGCTGATGACATTTTCTTTCATGATCATTTCAGAAGACCTTATTGGGATCCTTTTATTTCCTTTTTAGACTGTCTTGAGCAATAACTACATTCCAATTGTACTTGCATACCCTACTCTAATTACCAAAAGGATAATTTCAAAAATGCAGCAGAATATAGACACAAAATCTTATTGAAGATTATTAAACCCCTTTGCATGCTGAATCCAAGTGAACCCAGTTTATATTGAAAAGCCTGAAACTCCTGTTCACGTAAAACTAACGTGCCATTATATTTTTCTGCTGAATTCTTGTATCAGCTCGGTAGAAAAGATTTCTATCACTGTGTTGCTCCTCAGAGCATACGTTGTTTCTTAATGGCTTTCTATGTGCTGAAACTCTCCCCATGCTCATTTTTCTAAGTATATAATCCCAGGTTTTATGCATATATTGAAGCAAAAAAAGAGTTCAGTATTTTGAAAATATGTCTGCTCCTCATTTCCTCTTCATATTTATTCCGAAAGTGCAGCGGGCAGAGTACACGTTCTGTGGGTCACTGCCTGAGCCAGCAAGTCTCACTGACCATTGAGAATGGCATTGTTTTAGTAAAGCAGTGCCAGTGGCCTTACAGTGATGCGTTTGTATTTAGAAGTAAAAATAAACAAATAAGTACCATTTTAACTAGGTATGCTTTCTGGAGCAAAAGAAATGAAATTTTAAATTTCAGAATCACACGCGTGGTTTTTCTGTCGAGCATTTCTGATTTCCAGGTTACCTGGCATTTTCCTCTGCATGTCCATCCCCACTGCCACGTTATATTTACACGCCCTCCAAAAAGTCCTTCAGAGTAGCTGCCGCTCAGTGGAGCAACAGGGCCAATGATGTTATTGGCTTTTGGGTCTTTTGTCCTTTCACCACTACTGGACATTCAGGGTGAGGAGAGGGACTCCACCCACAATGAATATGGTCCCTCCCTGGCCCTCCCCCGGCCCTCACTGTTGTCACATGGAGCCCACGTGTAGAAGGCAGGGAGGGCCACCAGCCTGCAGCCAGCCAGCTGCCGGCCCTGCCAAGACACAGTGAGGGTGGGGCCCTCACTGTGGACCACAGCCCTGCCAGAATGGCTGGGTTTAATCACTCCGAAGTCTGGGTTCCAAACGAGTCCCAGATTCTTGTGAATTCTGCCACGCTTATGTGATCACGCTAAATATTCGCTCTGAGAATTTTTTATGTTTTATGTTACTTTCATCCACAAGGCAGAGAGCACTTCAAAAGAGCTCACGCTAACAACACCTCGTTCTCCCATTTGTTATATCTGCAAGCAAGACTTTTTTTAAAGGTTTTTCCATTCCTCTTAAATTTTGTAATTCCAGGCACAAACTTTAGCATTTTATAAACTGAAGAACAATTTTATGATAAAATGAGTAATTTTGGTCTAGTTTGAAACTTAGAAATCCTGCTTTTCTTTCGTAGCAGAACAAACTTCATCTCCTTGGTCTCTAACGGAAGTATGTTCCTCCTTGTCCCCCAGTTGTTACAGACGGCCCTGTACGAACCGAGTGAAGCACTGTGAGCAGGGACTTTCATTCAGTGAAGAAGTGTGTCGCTGCGTCCCGTCTTACTGGAAAAGACCGCACGTGAACTGAGATGATCCTCTTTGCTAGTTCGTCATTTTCCTAGCATGGGAAACTGTGTCGTCGCCACCTTAGAACCATGAACAGAGACACTTTGTGGGACCCTGGTAACAAAGCTGAAAATCAGTTTCCTGAACCACGTGGACACATGTTACAGAAATGGACTGGAGCTTATCTGCAAAGGACCTCTTTAAAATGCTGGTTTTCTGCCAGTGACCGAACATCTGAGGTTTTTCTCTTGTGATTTAAAAGAAAAAAAAAGAAAGAATAATGACTATATAATTTATTTCCACTAAAAATATCGTTTCCGCCTTCATTTTTATAGCGATAACAACTGGTAAAGCTCACTGTGATCAGTATTTTTATATCATGCAAAATACGTTTAAAATAAAATGAAAACTGTATGATAAGCTGGAAAGTTCAGTCCATTACCATCTTACCCTACGAGCAAGACTTGAGATTGTGAAAACATTCGTCTCCCTGTTACCTCTTCCTTTTCCTCTAGGCAGATGTCAGGTTTTGATTGCTGTGGAAGAATGCGGGCCTGTAAAAGAAGGCTTCAGAGGGACACCAATGGCTGTTCCGTCTTAGTTAAATTCACCCCTTACTAGAGTTAGTGAATTATAAACATTCCAGCACGTGGCATTCTTGAATTTATAGCCCGATGAATCAGTAGGGAACACATCATCTGAGAAGACAGTCTGCTTAGCACGTCCACTTGACGGAGAGTTACTCAGTGCTCCGGCAGCAGACTTAACCTGGAATAATCTCTCTCAGTACGTATTAAAGTGGCTTTAAAATACTCTACTCAAAAAGAATCTTTTCCAAATATTTAACTTCTTCCGACCAGCTAAAATACTTTTTGTAAGCTGAAGTGCCCCTATCCATCACATATAAAATAAACTAGAAATGACATCTAAATGCTCATATGTGTTAAAAAAGGAAACATTTCAGTCACACAAAGTGCTTGTTTCATTTGTTTAAAAAGACAGCACACTAAAATACTTTTTTTCTGGGAACAAATATTTTGCCTACATAAATACAACCAAGTAAGTGACAGAGAATTGATTATTTTCTGGTATGATATGGATACTAACAAATAAAAACACATAGCTACTAGCAAATATGTAAAAATAAGTAGTCCTGAAAGGAGAAAAAAAGTCTTCAGGAATGTAAAATTAAGTCCCTTAAACCTTACACATTTAATATAACAAAAACATTTTAATATGGTATAGGAGACTACTTTGCATAGCACAAAATATTAGTATCTATGTGTTTTGCTATACAATGATCTATTTTTTAAAAGTATTTGATTAGAAGGTTGATGCTCCAAAAATATTAAAACACTGAGTTTTCAATACTGACTTCAACAATGTTACATGCAACGTCTACTGAATTCTGGTTATGTGCTCTGCACAATGTTAACATCTAGATCATAAAGTCAGCTTTTTTGTGTGTTAGGAAAAAGAAGTGGTTGTCTTACATTCTCTCATTATACATTCATGGACCATCTTCCTATTTTTTAGTAAAGATGAATCTGAAGCCTTTAGGCAGAACATACGTGCATTGTACAGTCTCTGAACCACTAAAGTCCAGGTAATTTCCAAACTTGAGAACAGCAACTAATACTAATATTAACAATAGAAAAAGAAAAGGTAAGTGAATTTGACAACAGCTGCAGTTTTATCAGAATTTCCCCAAGAGAACAAATTCAGGGGTCATCACAGAGGGAAACACGGAATCACAGGCAGTAACATCTTTCCACCCGATGAGGAGACACACTCCCTTCGTGCATAAAATGGTCACCATCTATACAATGCATCTGAGATTCCATTTAATAAACTATCATCACATTTCAGCCAAGGATGTAAGCAAACAAACATTATGCAATCTGTTATGTTGATCTGATCAATCATTTTTAGTCTTGATACATTTTAATTATATTAATCTTTTAGCTAATTTAGAAAAGAAAATCTATTCTAAGTTTCACATGAGCCCCTCCGAGGCCAGCTAGAGAATATTAGAAACTGATAACAAAGACCTAACAAGCCATCAGCTTAAAAAACAAATCTTAAACTATGTGTTGACAGTTAGTGTCTCAGAATATATGGGTACGCCAAAAAAAAAATCACTAGATCAAAATTTAAAGTGTGAAGCATGCCAGAAAAAATAGCATTTAATTTGTCCCTGGAGATGTAATAATTTTGATGAAAAGCAAAAGTAACATCAACAAAGACAATACTTGGCCAGAGATTCTTGCAAACAATGTTATGTGGACCATAAAAATCTCACTTCACTACATGACAATAGTTGAGATTTTTCTGGTGCCAGTTAAGAAGATGGACTGGAGAGCAAGCTCGACAGTCACTTCGAACATTAACAAATGGGATTCAGCAAGAAGCTAAAATATAAATGCGTGCACCTGTTCGTAAACCCTGCAGGAGTCGCCAGCTACCAGTCCAGTGGAATCTAAAGGACAAAGGCGAGGAAACGCTGGAAGCATTCGGCAACAGTTTATATATCCAGATCATGGAAAATTTATAAACAATTTTATGTCTAGAAACCTACCACCACATACGTCGTTGAAAAGACTCAAGGAGCAAAATATTTTGATAAGCGGTTACAAGATTTGGCTTCCAGATTTTGTTTGTTTGTTTTGGAAGGGGGAGTTGACATTGGCTAACTGTTGGAGTGAAACAGATTCCATTATCAGAATTTCTAAAAATAATCTTTGTCCTCTGTATTTTTTTACTTTCAGAAGTCTGAGTGGTGACCATCAGCGGATACCCCGAGCGCACACCTTTAGGCGAAGGAAAAGCGGTCGCTCACTCACATTCACAGTCTAGGGTGCCTCTGGGGCTCCCTGCCCCGAGGGAATTCTGACGCTGACCCAGCAGGCGAGGGGGTTCCCAGGGCAGCACCTGTGCCTGCTGCCGAGGCTCACGAGGTTCACGCAGCTCCTGAGGTGGTCGCGTCCCTGCTCTCACCTGCCTGGGAGCGCCGCCGGGCCAGGTCGGGAACAAAGGTCTCCGGGCTCCGCGTTTCCTGCCTTCCTCTGCCCTCCCTGACAGTGTGAGCTGCGTGAGCAGATGTTTCAAAGGCCACTTTTTAGGGACTTGACCTTTTGAACCGAAAGTGAGAATAACTTAAAAATAGTATTTTTCCCTTTGCTGCCGTGGAAGAGAGCGTGCGTTGACAGGTCTCGTTTTTTTATCTAGGTGAATCGCAGAAGTTCTGAATACACCCAATGATCGTATCCTAAGGAACCACAGAGTTCCCCAGAGAACCGGTGAAGATATCCCCAGAACGTACCTTGTAAAGTACGTACTAGCTAATCTGTTTGTGTTTGAATGTGGGGTATCTTGGCTACTTTTTTTAGTAGGGAATAGCTATCTGTTAACTTGAAACTGTAAACTGGGTTTGATATTTTGAAAAAAAATTTAAATCAAAATTTTACATGCTCTTTTCTCTTTGTTCCATACCCAACAACACATTGCTGTAAAAAAAAAAAACCTACCGTAATAGAAGGAACACTGAACTGGGGATTGTAGGCCAGCTTGTAATCCTGACTTTTCTGCTTTGTCCTTAATCTGTGCTCAACAATCACCAAAATCCTCGAGTCCCAGCCTCTTAATCTGTGAAAGGAGGAAGTTGAAATTAATAATGTAAGACACTCCGCCTCCAAAGTTATGAAGTTTGTACTAAACTTCACACAGAGTGGGGGACAAAAGGAAAAGGACGTTTTCAAGGACTTCATACCAAAAAAACAAACTTCTGGGAAGCCGCAATCTTGATGTTACTAATCCCATTAAGAGGAAATACTTATCTTTTCAAACTGTTTCTTGTAAGAAATTATAACTGAAAACTCTGTCTCCCTTAATACTACTCTAAATCTACTTCTTAAATTCTAACTAATTCAGATAGTTCAAAACAGTAGTCTTCCTGATTTCTTCCTATCAAAGGTGGTCCCACCTGGAGACTGGGGAAATTTTCTTTCAACTATTGGAAAAAGTAAATATCTCAGAAAACAAACCCAAGCAACTTTAACAAGAAAGCAAAAACTGAGACTCCTGCCCACGGCTTCCAAAACTCAGTCAGAGGCACACATCCTGTGTTTCACCCAGGCGAGGCTACTGAAGCAGAAATTGCCTTCCAGCACGGTTCCAGCTGGGATTCCAATGACAGAGTTTGATTCCAAACTGGGCCTCACCGTCAGGGTCTGGTATCTACGTGTCCGAAAGTACAGAGGTCAGAACGCCCGGTGCTGCCCGGGGACTGACCACAGGGACAACCATACAGCTGTTCTGAGCTGACAGGAACTACTGTGAGACCCTCATTAAAAACGCCTTTGAAATTCACTAAATCATGACTGGCTGGGTAAGAAAGAACTCGACATTGTCTCCAGCAGAAATACTTAATTTTACAAATAAAACGTATAAATAGTTTTAAAAGAAGAAAAAAATGGATTTTTGTATTCAAATTTCTACTTGATTCAGAATTTCTCATATAATTTTGGTGGGAATTTCCTTCATTTGAATAAAATGCACTTTACTTATAAGCCTTAGAAATTCAGTTTAAATCAGCACTTCTCAAACATTAACTGTGAGAGAATTCTTACTGCATTTTTAAAGGGCACATGATCTGGAAAATGTGCATAATGTTCCTGTGCTTTAAACTGAACAAAGGAGGCAGTGCTGTGTCCTTAATATACAACTTGCTCATAAGATTAGATGTAACTATTAAACAGCTGTTGGAGAAAAAAATGCCATAACTCAAAAATAGCTATGTTGGGAATTTTCACCCATTTCGAGCAGATTTGAATTTAATTTTTCACTCTTTTCCTTCCCCCCAAAAAATAAATGTATAGAGATCTATGGAAATCCAGAGTACCTCTTCTAAAAGATGAACAACAGAAGTCTCAATCTAGGTGTTTCAAGCATAGTTTGCTGAGAGGGGTTAAAGATTAAAGTATAGAATGATGACAGCTTGGAGGAGGGGAGGTAATAATCGAAAAACAAAACTGTAAGGCTCAGCAGACCAAAGAATGTGTGCATATATAATTTTAACATGCTAACAGGCAAATTTTAAAGTAAACAGGCCTCTACTGTAATGTTAATTAAAAATACAGACCGTCTTCCACGTACTGCAAATCCCAAGAAAGCCTAAATGTTATCAATAAGAGTCAGCCTTCAGGGAATAATTTTTATTTTACTGTAACCACATCAAACTCTTCTGTAATAACTCACTTGGTGCACATTAGGGAGTTGAAGCTGGTCTTGAAATAAAACACTCATCTATGAATTTTGATTAGCCCACCACAAACCTTGCAGACTTTAATTCAAAGTTTGAGGGTGGCTGGGTACCCACATTTCTAAGTGATCTTACCATTTTAGAAAAACACCCACACATA